AAATCAGTAAGTAGAATGATGAGATCTCTTTATTCTTCTCAAATGGCAAAAGAAACGAATAGAACTGATAAGAATGGCAAATTGGCCATGAATTTAATAGAGAATCTAGTGAAAGGTAACTTTATTTTTTTTATTTTGATTATTTTTTATAGCACCCCTAGCATTATAAGTACTAATTCATAATTAAAATTCATGCTAATATAATTGCGTTATAATTAATTTTAAAAATAGACTTGTTTTTATTTTTTAAGCTTCTTTTTAATTATTGTATATATTTATATTTCTCTTTTACAGAAAGTTTCAGGAAAAAGCATATCAAAGCGGAAAACGTTACCATTGAGCCAGCACTGACTAACTGTTTTATTAATGCAAGAGATAGAGGTTGGCATCATAATCGGAGTTGCTAACAATAACTGTATCACTATCTTAATGTAATTGTAAATTTAATGGAATAAATCTTGCATAAAAATAAATTCATTTTTCAACTTATTTTCAAATTTTTGAGAATGTCGTTTAAATATTAAACAGCAAATCCCATTTAGGCTTTGGGTGGAAAATACTGCATATATTATAGATCTGAAATGTCACATATATCTAATCCTAAACAGAATAAAGTAGCGAATACCAGATAAATGTGTCTATCTGAAAACTTCAATTATTATCTTTTAATTATATCTCTATTTTTTCTAGGTCTGTAGTGTCCAAAAGCTTCAAACATGTTGATTGACTTATGATCTGCTATAAGAAAAAAATTCATGTGATTTAATGACTTGGAACTTATTGTTTTTAAGCCCGGAGTCCTGGAGTCCTTGCTGCTATTATACCTAAAGACTCCGGGTTCAAAAAATGATTATTCCTCTCACCTAAAAGTCTTTTTTTTTTCTATAAGTAGTCCATAAACTTTTTTATTATTTTAGAGCTCCTGGATCAAAAACTAATTTTTTAGTGACTTTTAAATCCGTAGAAAAAGTAATTTTTTAGTGACTTTCAAATCCGGAGTCCTTTTTGGGACTCCGCAGCCCTGATATCTGTACCTTCATGTATGTATATATATATATATATATATATATATATATATATATCAAAAATATATATATATATATTTACCAGATACCTGGTAGTAACTTCTTTTACTCTATACGGATCAAACTTTATGTGGTAATTTAGATCTATAACATATGTGGTATTTTCCACCTTTATACCATATAGAATTTACCCTAAAAAACCTATGTGGGACAAAAAAATAATTCTAGCATAATTTACATGTGGTAAAAACCACAAGTATTCTATGTGGGAATTATCATTTATAGCCCATGTTGAATTTGCCACCTATATCTCATGTGGGATTTATCATATGACACCCACGTGGGACAAAATAATAATTTCCACATGGGTTACATGCGGAAAATACCACCAGTATCCCATGAGCGCTTTTTCATTGGGGTCCAGCGATTTCATAAATTTTGTGATTTGTAAACTACATAAGGAGACAATGCTACCGGCTGCTGAACCACAAAACATTATAGAAATGCTTGCCTTTGTACTTTCTTTAGTTTGCTCTGGATGTTTTGTTCCACGTCTGGACAAACATTTAACAACACCAGGATCATCTGTCACATTTGTTTCATCAAAGTTAAAAAATATTAATTGAAGCCCTAGATACTTTAGTAAGAACACTTTTAAGACTTTGATATTATTGTTGGCAAAGATTGTTTTTGTGGCAATGCAAAAATACAATTGACTATTTATGTGAAGGAGTATTGTTTTTAAAGCAGAAACATTTCTTCCAGTGGTATTTAAATAGCCTTTTACAGCTACTCTCAAATCAAAGAAAAACCCTAATCACTAACCGTCCATATATATTTTATAATATTATTTTCTTTAAATTTATTCAAACTTGTTGGTTGGCGAAAGTTCTTATTTGCCTTACACATGATTATTTATAGTTCTTCTTTTTATGTTATATAAATTTGAAGCTTTTTAATCCTCTTTGCTTTTTACTTTCATGATAGCTTTTTACTTTCATGGAGAGTCAGAAGAATTACAAACAATTTTAAGTAGTGCCTCATATGAAACAAAAAGTTCAACTTCAGATTCATAAGCTGTTAATGATTAGCTGGATTTGAAGTGTTTAGTCTTTTGAGTAACTTAACTATTAATTTGTGATATTTTATTTTAGACTATTACTAGCTCTAAATCAGATTCGGACTGAAAATTTGTTCTACAATTGTGCAGACAATGAAGAATCTTTGTTGCATTTGTTGCATTCGAGTACTAAATCTATTCTACCTTTCTTTAGACTTATGTCTACTAATGCCTGTTGTATACAATATTTTAAGAAATAGGCGTGTATAAGCATTGACAAAAGACTGTTCCATATAGTCTTGCAGTCTTTTATTTGAGTTAATTGATTCCAAAATTCAGCTGCAATATACTCCTGCAAGATATCTTTTTTTTTTGTTATAGCCTGAACTTTATTTTTGTACCTTTCATCACTAGACCACAACTTACCTCAGTAACATCACATTGGTTTTCTCGATGCCTACTATGAATAGCATCAAAATCAACCAATTCATTGTTGTCAGAAAAACAGTTACTCTCTAAAAAATCATCTTCTATAATTGCTTCAAAACTGACAATTTCATGCACTTAAATTAATTTTCGTGTAGCAACAATTACGTAGTAATGTTTATTTTTCACAAGACAAAAAAAATCTTACATCTACACTGAATTCAGGTGGGGTTTTTTTTGCCGGCTAAGTTCAGTAATTAAAAAATTCCTTATTTTTTGCTGTAATCTACAACCATTTCCATACAGTGTTGACCATGTGGGTAAGCTTTTGAAACATGTAGCTACAAGACTTGCACGTATATCACTAGAACGCATATAACATTAAATAAAATCCCATCAATCATGCAAGTGTCACAGGAAGTGATTTTTCTTCTCACTCTAATATCGGAAAATATTTGGTTAATGCTTTGGTTTATTTTGTTAGTGGTCCACTGCGTGGTAGATGGTATGAGGTTATTTTAGTGGACGGAAAGTAAGTGCATAAAGAGACCTCTCATTGTGGCACCTCTAATTTTAAAAATCTTTTTGCATCTTCTATGATTCTGAACAATATAATTACTTTTTTGTTATATTTCATGTAAGAAGCCATTATTATTTTAAAAAAATTACTGTTCAAATAACCTGCAATTTTAATTTAATTAAAACTAGTAATATAAAATAGTCACAAACAAATAACGTCTAATCAACATAAAAATTGTAAAAAACTTGAATAAATGTGATTAAGCACCAACAAAATTTAAGAATGTAATTGCAATCAAAGAGTTAATTTAACTCTAATTTAAAAGTTAATTTAACTTTATTGTATTTGCAACTATTTTTAGTGATTTCTTGAAAAAGTTATATATTTTAGAAAATATTGCTCTATATGCTACAGTTGTTATACCAGTTAGATTTTTGGTGCCATGCAAGATTATAACTAAATAAAATTATTAAAAGCAAAAAAAAATTATTGAATGGGGGTGTTTTGAGATATTGGGTCCTAAAGTTGAGTCATAAAAACTTGCTGTTCATTAACTTTTATGCATGTTCCCTTCATATTTCAGCATTTTAAATAAATTTATTGAATTCTGCATCAAAAGAGCATATTTTTGCCATTGTTATTTTTTATAAATAAAACATTTTTTTCAAGTGTGATGGAAACCGGGTCATTCTAGAAAACCAGGTCAAATTTAAAACTGCAACCACTCAACATCTTTAGCTAAAATTTTGCTAACAATATTTTTTTATAAATAAGAATCTTATCTCAAAAGATAAAGAAAAAGAAAGACACATGGTTCAATGGAGTGGTTGATTTACCTCCTACTGATTCCTTTCCCTGATGATGATGATTATCATGATCATCATGATCATCATGATTATCATGATGATCATCATGATAATCATGATCATCATCTTCATCATCATTATGTTGATAATGATGATAATGATGATCGTTATCATGATCATCATTATCATGATGATCATGATGATCATGATCATGATGAACATCATGATCATGATCATGATGATCATGATAATGATCATGATCATCATGATAATCATGATCATGATTATCATGGCACGTATATCACTAGATATATGATTATCATCATCATGATCATGATCATCATCATCATTATCATGATCATCATTATCATAATGATGATCATGATCATGATCATGATGATATTATGATAATGATGATCATGATAATGATGATATTATGATAATGATGATCATGATAATGATGATATTATGATAATGATCATGATGATCATGATCATGATGATCATGATCATGATGATCATGATCATGATGATCATGATGATCATGATCATGATGATCATGATGATCATGATCATGATGATCATGATCATGATCATGATGATCATGATCATGATGATTATGATCATGATCATGATGATCATGATCATGATGATCATAATCATCATGATCATGATCATCATGATCATGATCATCATGATCATGATCATGATCATCATGATCATGATCATCATGATCATCATGATCATGAGATCATGATTATCATGATCATCATGATCATAATCATCATGATCATGATCATCATGATCATGATCATCATGATCATGATCATCATGATCATCATGATCATGATCATCATGATCATGATCATCATGATCATGATCATCATGATCATTATCATAATATCATCATTATCATGATCATCATTATCATAATATCATCATGATCATGATCATGATCATCATTATGATAATGATGATCATGATAATGATGATGATGATCATGATCATGATGATGATGATGATATTATGATAATGATGATCATGATAATCATTATGATGACAATGATGATGATCATGATGATGATGATCATGATAATCATGACAACCAATATTATTTAAAAAGTATAAAATGTCTTAAAATTCAAGAAACACAAACCAACATACTTTTAGATTCTATTTCCATAACAATATGCAAAAGAATAAAAACCACTGTTTTGATCATTTATATTTGTCTAAAACAAGAAAAAATGATTGATTTATATTGGTAGCAGTACTTATATTTAATTAAAAATATTAAATGGTAAAATAACCAAAATTATAACTTTTTCATTAAATTATATTCAAGATATTTATCGTATCTATATAGAAAAATTTAAGTAAAAGCCATGATCTGGATTTCTAATTCTTCTAGCCATCTATAATCTTCATGTCGTGCATCTCTAAAAATGATATTACTATGATGTATAGAATATAATAATATATTAAAAGGTAATACATAATAAACTCTTTTCATTCTCAAAATTTAAGGGGATGCGCCGCCGCAATGGTAAATGACAGACTGCATATCAAAGATAAAAAAAAATTTCAAAAAACTCATTGAACAAATGCTCACTTTAAACTTTATTCATTTCATAATCTCAACATCAAGTATTTATAACTTACATTAGAAGCTGAAAATACCTAAAAATTAAATTCGGAGTGGTATAGTTTTCAGGTTATTGTGAGGTAACATGAAAACACAATAACATGAAAACTGTATAAAAGTATAAAATCTTATTAATAAATGTAAAACAATATTTTACATTTATTGCATACACAGTACACACACATACATATATATATATATATATATATATATATATATATATATATATATATATATATATATATATATATATATATATATATATATATATATATATATATGAGTACATCATTCAAATAGTTGGAAATGATTTAACAGTAGTATAATAACAATATTATTCAAAAGAAAACTTATCGTGTGTACAACTCTTTTGAACGAAAATGGTCAAATAGTCAAAGAACAATGGGCTGATTTAAAAGTAAAAATTCAGATTGGTTGAACAGAGAAATTACATTTACTGATAATGCAATTCCATCAACATCTTCTTGTTAGTCAATTCCATCAAGATCTTCTGGATGACCAAGTTTATCATATACCGAAAAATCAGATCGGGCCAAGAGATTGGAAGCGCCAGAGTTATGTTGGAATAATTCGCACCAAACATCTCTTATACAGCAGGTATGGCTACACATCAAAAGAAATGTGATTTACTTCAAATGAAATCAAAATCGCACAATTGCTGTACAAGATTTGTACAATTATTGGAAACTATTAAACACTCTGTATTGTAGAATACATTTAAAATTATTTGTGCGTATATAAATATATATATATATATATATATATATATATATATATATATATATATATATATATATATATATATATATATATATATATATATATACATACAACACACAGTACACACACATACATATGTATATACAAATTAATAATTAATTAATTAATAATTAGTTCCAATTAAGGAAATTTTGGGCTATTTTGTTATATCACTGCAATAACATGCTTGCAACAACTTATAAGATAAGTTTATATTTTTACTTTTCATTTTAAATCCCAGCGAATTAAACACAAAAAACTGTATAACCTATAGCAGTATAGTTTGAATTACTTGATAAGGCAAAAAATTGATTTTAGTGCTAAATAATTATTTATAAGAAACTCTTTAAAGCTTCATTTTGCATCCAATCAAGAAAGTTTACATATTCAACATATAAAATGTATAAAAAACAGAAATAAAAATTTACACATTCAGCGTATAAACTGTGTAATAATCTTAAATAAAACAATATATTGCTTTATAAATTAAAAGCAAATGTCTTATTCAGTTAAAGATGCAAAAATTAGACTATTTCATCTTTTTAAGTTTGTTTGTTGAAACCTACAGTTATGTAAGTTATATTCACTATTAAAAAATCTAATAACTCTTTCAAGATGCTAGATAGATTCTATAGATTCTATAAACTATCCTACATTATCTATTCTTTAAATCTCTTTATCATTGCTGGATAATTGATAATTTTTAAAAATTGTTAATTAAACTTTCAAGGGGTAAATTTTTAATTGTACATTGTTACTTTTTTAACCCGAATAATTTTCAAAGATTTATTTAATGTTATTAAATGATTGTTGAAAATTATATTTCACTTAACTCTTTTTGTTGTTCAGGATGCCAGTTAATATACACTGGGATAATCTTTATGTCACATTAGCTTTTTAATCTTAATGTATAAATTGTTGAACTACTCAATTACTGGTCCAGATGAATTGCATGATTATTTTTTATAGATGCAGGTGTATTTGTACAATCACAAATATAAACTGGAATCATATAAATGAAACTGTTGATCTTTTTGCTTGAAACTTTTTACATTCTTCACCTCTTTCTAGTAAAACTATTATCAAAATGTTGCCACAAAGTGACAGTGATTTGATAAAATTTTTACTAAAAAAGGCAAAAGAGGGAAAGACTATCAGTATCATTCATATGATTCTGTTTATATACACCTGTTATATATATCAGTGTCATTTATCATTGCTGGATAATTGATAATTTTAAAAAATTGTTAATTAAACTTTCAAGGGGTACATGAAAATCTATCAAAAATAAAACACCACCTTTTCTGCGTTGCAGAAAAGGTGGAGTTTTCTTTTTGATAGATTTTTAAAAGATACATGTGAAAAAAAAAAATTATTTATCTATTTGACAACAAGTAAATTACAAAGTCTATAGACAAAATCAATAGCCAATAATACTAATAATTTTTTGCATAGTAATATAGCTACTAGCCTAAGCCAATAGATTATTTTTAAGATTATGTTGGCAGTTAAATTATAAAGAGTTTGATGCTGGTAAGCCAGTTCCAAAATCATATTTGTAAGAAGGAAACTTATCATACCCAAAAAATATTTTAATACATTTTTTGTAACATATATAGTATATATGTATAATTTTTTTGTAACATATATAGTTAACATATATGTATAATGTGGCTTTTATGAAGGGTCTGGTCTTAAACTATTTATTTATGTAGAGTCTGGTCTAAAATTATACTATGAGCCACATTATACATGTATAATGTGGCTTTTATGTGTTTTTTGTGTATAATGTGGCTTTTATACATGTATAATGTGGATTTTAATGCCTTTTTTGTATTCAAAAAAGGCAGCGAATGTTAAAAAACTGTATTTTTACCCTAACTGAATATTTTTTAAATTGTTTCATAAGAATGTATACAAGTATATAATCATTTAGCTACTCTATTTGTATCTGCAAGATAATTTTTGATTACATGTTTAAGATAATTTAAATTTTCAATAAAAACTAAATTATAACCTCCCAAAGTAGATAACGGAATGTTGCCTGAAATAATTTTATATTTCTGTTATGGATTAAACATACACACGGTTTTCTTTGTATTAAATGATATGTTGAAGGCAGTGGCTTTAACATTTACTTCAATTAATAAATATCACAATATCATCAAAATATGCCAAGAGGTTTAGAAAAATTTTGCTATCTCACAAACATCATTTGATTTTTTTACCAAAATACAAGTAAACAGGTAAGCTAGACCCAATTCAATTAATTAGAAAACAATTGTCAATAGTTAACGCTATCAAAACTGTTATTTCTATGTCGCCTTTCAAAGTTAAGATACAAATAATGACATTTTCGATATAATAATAACAAAAAAAAAACAATAATTATAAAAATAACAGCAACAATAATAGTATTAATATTACTACTATTATTATTGTTATTATTATTACTATTATTATTATTATTATGATAATAATAATAAAAATAATAATAATAGAAAAACTAGAGATAAAAATGAAAATAAACTTTATATTTATATCAATTTTTAAATATCATATTTATTTATATAGTTTATCTTTTTATATAAATCACTCAAGGTTACGTTATAAACAATTATTTGGTCAGTTCAACCTATATGGTATTTTAAAAACGATTTGTATATCGAAATTAAATCGGTAAATTAAAAAAACCTTTTACTATTTTAATTTTTTTTAAGCAAATCACTGCAATCAGAACTTAAAAAGACTATTTCTAACGCGTCAGAAAATTCTTGAGTTTAGGGGCGACTGATTAGGTGTGCCAACTGGCATAAGGGGCTGTTCATTAATAAAGTAAACAAATTTTTTGAAATTTTTGTTGACGTAATTAATGGACAACCCCTAAGTGCGAAGCAGTTGCAAAAACTGGAAGTGGCATAAAAATTTGAATAAATGTTACAAAAAAGTATGCAAACAATAGCATAAGTGAGAACTTACATAAGTCCGAACTGGAAAAAATGCGGAGCAGTTGCTAGCATAAGTGCTAATTGGCATATTTTTTTTAGTCGGCAAAAGTTGTAATGGCACCCCCCCCCCCCCCACGTGATACCTGCTCGTGCCGGCCCTGTACGAACTGGCATGAATGCTATGCAAGTGTTGATTGGCATAAATGTGCCGAAAGAATTTGTAAAAACTAGCAGTAAGCAACCCGTAATACGGGTTAGTAGTAAATAAATCATTACTAACAATTTGATATTTATTTACTTTCTCTAATAAAACATAAATTTATTTATACAGAAAGCAACCCGTAATACGGGTTAGTAGTAAATAAATCATTACTAACAGTTTGATCTTTATTTACTTTCTCTAATAAAATATAAATTTATTTATACAGAAAGCAACCCGTAATACGGGTTAGTAGTAAATAAATCATTACTAACAATTTGATCTTTATTTACTTTCTCTAATGAAATATAAATTTATTTATACATTTTTTTAGTTGAGCTCACTTTTATTTTTCTTGGCTTCTTAGTTTAAGAGAACTCTTAGCTTCATTAAAGATAAAGTTAACCATTTCTTTTGCAATGTTCAGACATTAAATGCGCAAATCACAACCATGTAGTAGTTAAAAATGACTTGAATTATATGCACAGAACATGTCAAATTTTCAATTTCAGTAAAATTGTTTAGGTAAATATTGGGAATATATTCTACTCTTAATTTTGCTTTAAGCTGAGTCGTTTCTTTTTTTTTTAAACTTTTCATTTTATTGAGTGAAGAGCTTAAAAATATGTCACTATCGCACCTAAACTTTTCAATGTTATTAATATACTTTTTAAATATTTTTAAAACATCTAAAATATTACACCCAAACTTGTAGGCATAGAAGTTGGATATCCGGAAAAACTATAAGTTGAAAAATATATCGCAATTCCGAAAAGGGCTTAGCCCTGCATACGGGTCCTATACTATTATGATAAAGATTATTATTAAACCAACCTTTTTTTAAATTAGTAATCCAGCAGAAACTTGTTTATAAAAAAACAATAAAGGAATATATGGTTTTACTTTAATAGTTAACGTGTATCAACATATTTATTTCAGCATACATCCAATCCATATTTATACTAATTTTATAAAATGTCCGGAATACATTTTGCCTTAACTTGGCGTTAAATTATTAGTTTTATTTCATTAATTTTTGTATAGATCAGGTTAATAATAAAA